TTCTTTGTCTCAAGTTTTTTCAAACTCAGACAAAGAGGGGCAAACTGTAGACACCAAATTTTGAATAATTTTATGTGGCATCTATTTCATGATTTTCATTTTAGATTGCTTGCATTCGTTGTTTACTTTTAGTTTTAATTTTTAGTTTTAGCTTTTAAGTTTAAAATTAGCGTAGAGTTTTTAGAGAAAAGAAAAAGAAAACATCAAAAATATGTTTTAGTCATTTTGTTTCTATCCAATGCTTTCTTGAAAGAAAAATGCAAATGAAAAATCATAAAAAAAGGAGAAAAGAGAAAATTAAAGAAAAAAGAGGGAAAAGAAGAAAAATTCAAAAAATAGGCTTCAGTTGGATTGGAAAAATGGAAAAAGGAAAAAGGAAAATTTGTTCACAAAAATATGTTTATTTCTTTAAATTCAATCTTTGGGCACTTTAGTTATTTTTATTAAGTTATTTTTGAGATAAGAAAATGAACGAAAATGAAAAAGAAAATGTGAAAAGATGGAAAAATGGCCATTTTTGTTGTTTTTCGGTTTAGTTCTTAAATTATTATTATTACTATTATTATTATCTGGTTTTTGTCAATTTGTTATTATTATTATTATTTATATTTTATCATTTCTGCATTTATTAAGTTGAAAAAAAAAAAAAAAAAAAAGGATAAGATGAACACGCGACTTGCAAGCTGCGTTTTTGCAGCTTGCAAAGAGGGGCTCTTGGCAGCCCCTTAGCTGTAAATATGAAGAAAAAGGCTGGGGTTTTAGGGTTGTGAGGTTTCCATATAAATAGAAAGAGAGCCAGCAGCCGCAGGGGAGAGGTTCTCGGATGAGGTGAAAAAAAAAACAGCGGAGAGAAAATGAGAGCTTTGGTTGGCGGCGGTAGAAAGAAGAAGGCTGCGGAGGCTTATTGGAGTGAAGGACTGAAAAGAACTAGAAAGCTACTAGGGTTTCTGGGGAGCGATAGAGAGCGGGGGACGGCAAAAAGAAAGAAAAACTGAGAGGAGAGAATGGCTAAAAAACTGGAGAGAGCAGGGAAAGTTTGGGGGGCTAGCAGCGATCCCACCGAAGATGGGTCTGGCGAACAGCAGCGAAGGTTATCTTCATCCCTGATGAGGAGTGCCAGAAGCCCGACCTCCTCGTCACCTCCAGTGACTACCTCCGGGTCGCCGACGATGGAACCCGCGTCGACATGAAGGGCCTCCTCAACAACTACCGCAACAGCAAGTTCTCCGGCCCCCTCACCTCCTTTGACTGGAACGAGGCAGAACCCAAGCGCATCGGCGCCTCCAGCATCGACACCACCTGCACCATCTGAGACATCGACCGCGAGACCGTCGACACCCAGCTCATCGCCCGCGACAAGGAGCACTCCACCCTTATCTACGAGAGCTCCGAGCCCAATACGCCGCTTGTCCGCCTTGGTTGGAACGAACAGGACCCCCGGTACATGGCCACTATCGTTATGGACAGCGCCAAGGTAGTCGTCCTGGACATCCGCTTCCCACGCTTCCAGTCGTGGAGCTGCAGCGGCGTCAGGCCAGTACCAACACCATCGCCTGGACTCCCCACAGCTCGTGCCACATCTGCACTGCTGGAGATGACTCCCAGGCCCTCATTTGGGATCTCTCTTCCATGGGCTAGCCCACTGAGGGTGGATTGGACCCCATTCTCGTTTACACTGCCGGTGCCGAAATTGAGCAGCCACGGTGGTCCTCTTCCCAGCCTGATTGGGTTGCCATCGCCTTCTCGAATAAGCTTCAGATGCTGAAGGTATGACTCGTGTTTCATTGTCTGGATCCCAGGTAATCGCTACCGTAGCTGCAATAATCGTTTTCTTATCCCTTGTTTGGATTGCATGCATTTTTTAGAACTGAGTATGATATTTTTCTGAGTTGCTTGTTCACTTGGATCATGGTTGCTTAATCTAAAGTTGTTAGTTGCTTAATCCTAGTTGAAGTTGTGTATTTGAACTAGAAAATCTGGGTCAGTTTGCAAGCAAAGTGCAGCAATTTCATTCTTGTTTGATTGAAGCTTAATAGAAAATAGCTGCAGAAAATGATATCTGAAAAATGCAGAAATGTTTTCGATGTTCGCGGCTGGTCTTTCTTTTGTTCGTTCATATGTTCCAGTAGTAGTTTTCCTTGCGTTTCTGTGAATCTTGGGGTTTGCTTAAGAGCATGTTTGAGGGGTTTTTGGTTTGGGCAGCATTACGCCAGATTTTAGTTGCTGTTTTTCTTTTACAAGGCATGCGTGTGATTAGCAACTTAGAAAATAACAGCCATCAACCCGGATTTTCCTGATTTGATCTAGCAATGATAGTGTATTATTTGGCTTGGTTGATGATTTGGGGGATTGTCATATGATCATTTGATTCAAAAGTTGTTATCGGTTGGTAATGTTTGGGTTGGTAATGAAGCAACAGGCTGCGGTTGAAGGTAAACCAGAAGATGAGAAACAAAGGCTTCGTGCATGCATGAAATAATTCTTTAAAATTGCCTCTTAACCCCCTCAAGTTTCACCTTATGCTACTATGACCCACAAAATTGAGAAAAACTAATCAATTGGGTCCCTGTGATTTTTGCAGCAATGCATTATGACCCAACCAATTGAATAATGGCAGCTTTAATTTTTGCAATTGCGTTGCTTGCTTTACTTCAATTAACTACCATGCTTTGTCATTTGCATTTAAGCCATAACTTTAGAGGCTTTACGATCAAGTGAGCTTTGTTTTTGTACATTTTCTTTAATTTTCCCAAATAAATTGGTACCTTGACCATTTCTTTTATTTTGGAGGATAAATTAGTAACTTCACCTCATTAGGGCGTCAATTCAAGGGAGGTACACTCTATCCCTCATTTGCACTTCATTTTTTTCCTACGTGCTCCTACGTGTTATGTGAATATGCATGTCTACTTCGCTTTACTTGCTTCCCTTTAATTCCTTGCGTTTATCTCATTTACTTTACTTTTATTTAAGTTATTCATTATGGGGTATGTGTACACCTCTTGGCTTGTAATAGATAGGGCTTGGCGAGCTTTCTTGTCCATTTTCCCTTTCCCCCTTTGTCTAAGGTATTCATTATGGGGTATGTGTACACCTCTTGGCTTGTAATAGATAGGGCTTGGAGGAGCATTCGATGAAGACCTATCGAAGACGTGTGCCTAGCTAGCAAATGTAATAGTTAGGGCTTTAATTGCCTTATGTGTCTTGCCTGCTTAGTTGTTACATGTTAATTTGCTTTGTTAGGGCCTTGCATCTAGTCGAGCATGCTAAATGTTATGTGCTACGTGTTTACGAGTGTTTTGGCATGTCTACTTGCTTTCATAACCATGAATGAATGTGATGGATGAATGTACGTCACCACACTAGTCCAATGCTAGTTGTGGCAAGGGCTAGTCCAACGCTAGACCCAATAGGATTTTTCCTTTGTTTTTCATTAATGCATTATTTGCCTGTTCACTACATATCATGCATTTTTCCTTAGTTTTATCATCTGGCATGCTCCTTGATTCCCCTTTCCCCTCACTTTAGGTCTTGCATCTCATGCTAGTTAGGGTACATTTGCCTGAAGAGTCCCCTTAAATATGGGATATAGACAAGTGTGGCTTTTCTAAGCCTTAGCACGCTTATATTCCCTCTACAAAAGGGAAAATTGAGTCACAATTTAGGTCTCCCCGTACCCGTCCTGCTTGCATTCCCTAGGCTCATGCATTCTCAATCCACTCTATCATCACACTTTCACTTTTGTCTCATTTGCACACATGCACCTTTTTATCACTTTCATTTGCACACGAACACTTTTTTATCTTCACTTGCACACGAACACTTTTATCTTCACTTGCACACGAACACTTTTTTCTTCACTCGCACATGAGTACTTTCATCTTCATTTGCACACCGACACTTTCGCACTTTTCTTTAAATTGCATTCATGCATTTTTGCCCACTTGCACTTGGAGTATATCAAAGACATTTGCACACCTCCACTTATATCGTATTTTTATCAATCTTCCCACTTCACAAACTCACATTTTTACATAGCATACATTCCACTCATTTTTACGTCATTTAGGATTACATGTGACCTCTCCAAAGGATCATTATTGGGCTTCACAATTAATGTGATTGGCACCACTCAACCTTTGAAGAGAAATTTCTCCCATGTCCCCCTAGGTCTAGGCTTTTGCATTCATATAGACATATCCAACACGCGATACATACCTTGGGTAGAAAAATTAGGAAAAATTGGTTTAAGTCACGCAACTAGCCTTGGCTAGGTCGAAGGGGTGCCTTGGATTTTTATCCTTGCCTTCCCCTTCGTCAAATGTGACCCCCGATCCCTCTTTTGGTTACGTAGACCCAAAAAGTTCTTTAAAAGGGTTTATTTACTTTTTTCATTCAAAAACAAAAAATCATTTTTGGGTGACTTGGTACACCCTAACTCGATACCAAGTGGCGACTCCATTTTCATTAAAAAAAACCCTTTTTGAACTTCACTTGGCCAAATCGTCGCATTCTTAAGTCCCATGGCCTTTTTACTTTTCATTTCGCACACATTCACATGTATATCACACTCACACCACACACATTTCACATTCATTCAAAAAGTGGGGCGCGACACAAAGGAGAAGGAGAAAGAACCTCTCCCCGACCCCTCGGAGGATGAGTCACGCGATCGGCCCCCTAGAAGGAAACGGCCACGAACACCTCCTCGCCCCCGAGCCTCGGTGGTCGGGGACAGCGAGAGGTACTCCCGCGACCAATCCGCGGGGAGCCGTCCAAGAGACCCCTCCCCACGGAAGCCCACACGGAATGGGTTCGAGCGTTCCCCTGCTCGGTCTGTCAAGAGTCGGCCGCGCGACCTCCCCTGGAAACCTGTCCAGGACGAGCTCGAGCAGATCTTGCGGCCGCAGTTGTACGAGTACAACTACTCCACCTCGCCCTTTCCCCGGGAGATAGAGGATTACCCCCTACCCCGGAGGTTCAAGATACCGAGCATTGAGATGTATGATGCTTCGACCGATCCGGAAGACCACCTTTCGGTCTTCCTGACGCACATGCGTCTGCAAACAGCTGCGGATGAGATCTGCTGCAAGACCTTTCCCATGTTCTTAAAGGGGAAGGCTCGGCTCTGGTTCCAAGGCCTGGCCCCAGGGTCTATCCGAAATTTCCCTGAACTGGCCAGGCAGTTCGTAGCCCAGTTCGTCTCCTCGAAAACTTACTCGAAGAATGCGACCCACCTAATGGCTATCAGGCAGAGGCCTGACGAGTCCCTGAGAAATTTCATGACCCGCTTCAACGCGGAGAGTCTACAAGTCAGGGACAAAGACGAAAAGGTGATCATGGCCGCCTTCGTGAATGTGCTCAGGGTAGAGGAGCTCTTCTACAAGCTGGCCGAGAAGCCACCTAAGAACCTGGAGGAGCTCCTGACCAGGGCACATGCGGCCGCTAATGCGGAGGAGGCGGGCCGTCTGAAGAAAGAGTCAGATCGGGAGCTCGGAGATCGGAAGGGACGGACAAACCCCCCAGAGGGCAAGGATGTTCCGGCCAAGAAAAACGTCTTTGACCGGCTCTCGAGGGAGAAAGCCCCTGCTCCGCCGCCACTCCCGGAGAAAGGCTACACCCCCCTAACACGGCCAAGAGCCCAGATCTTGGCTGTTATGGAGGCGGAAGGGCTGGGAGATCGGTCGCCCAAGATGGGGACACCTCGGAACAAAAGGGACCAGGACCGGTACTGCGCCTTTCACCGCGACGTGGGACACGACACGGAGGGATGCTGGGCCCTGCGGAGGGAGATTGAAGATCTGATCCAACGCGGTTTCTTGGGACGGTTCGTGCGGCAAGGTCGTTCCGGCCAGGAGCCCGGACGCACCTGCCGCGGGGATTGGGGTGAAGGCCAGCGGCGCCACCGCCCTGAGCGGCGTGACGAGCGTCGGGGTCCTTCCCCCGACCAGGACGCCCAGAACCTGGCTGGAGTGATAAACACCATCGCCGGAGGCCCCACCGGGGGGGACAGTCACACAGCCCGGAAGAACAGGCGACCTCCCCCCGAGAAGGATGACTCCCTGAAGCGACTGCGCATGGACGAGGAGATCACTTTCGGACCTAGGGATGCGGTTCCCCTAGCGTCCGGGAACCATGAGGCCATCGTGATAGACATTGTCACCAACAACTACCGGGTGAAAAAGGTGTACGTCGACCAAGGGAGCGCGGTTGACATCATGTTCTATCGGGTGTTCAAGGAGCTCGGCTTGGAGGACGGGCAGCTGACCCCAGTTCGGACACCACTGATGGGCTTCACCGGACCCCCCATCAACCCGGAGGGAATGATCACCCTGATGGTCACGATAGGGCAGGCCCCCAAATGCCGGACCATCCCTGTCAACTTCGTCGTGGTGAAGCAGCATTCTCCGTACAACGTGTTCCTGGGTCGGCCTGCCTTGAACGCTCTCCGAGCTATCCCCTCAACGCTCCACCTCAGCGTCAAATTCCCCACTCCGGGAGGAATAGCCGAGGTACGCGGTGATCCAGAGGTGGCCCGAGCTTGCTACCTGGCCATGCTTCAAGGACGGGAGAAGGTGGTCGCCCAGACGACCTGCCTGGAACCCTACATTCCAGGGGAGGAAGCTCGGCAGTTGGGTACCCAGGACGAGATAGAGGAGTTCCCCTTGAGGGAGGACCGGCCCGACCAGGTAATCCGCATTGGCAAGCTACTGCCCCCTGAGGAGAAGAAGGATTTGAAGGCCCTATTGAGGGAATACTCCCAGGTCTTCGCCTGGTCGGTTGATGACATGCTCGGGATCCCGACCGACCTTGCAGTCCACCACCTCAACGTGGATCCCCGCTTCAAGCCGGTGAAGCAGAAGAAGAGGAGTTTCGCCCCAGAAAGGAATGAGGTGATCAAGAAGGAGGTCGGGAAACTGCTGGAGTCCTAGATCATCCTAGAGGTCTACTACCCGACCTGGTTAGCCAATCTGGTGCTGGTAAAAAAGGAGGACCAGACCTGGAGGATGTGCGTGGATTTCACGGATCTCAACAAAGATTGCCCAAATGACTGCTTTCCTCTACCGAGAATCGACAGGTTAGTAGATTCTACTGTGGAAATTGATGTTTTGTGCTTTCTGGATGCCTTTAAGGGGTACCACCAGATAGAGATGGCTGAGGAGGACCGGGAGAAGACCTCCTTCATCACAGAAGAAGGAACCTACTGCTACCGGACTATCCCGTTTGACTTGAAGAACGCGGGAGTTACCTACCAGCGCTTGGTCAACAAACTGTTCCAGAATCAGATCGGCAGGAGCATGGAGGTCTACGTGGATGACATGATCGTTAAGAGCCGAACTGATCAGCAACTCGTCTCCGACCTGAGGGAAATCCTGGGCATCCTGCGGGAGAGCCGGATGCGGCTGAATCCGAAAAAATGCACCTTCGGGGTCAGGTCGGGAAGGTTCCTGGGATTCCTGGTGTCTCGAGACGGGATCCGGGCCAACCCGGATAAGCTCCAAGCTATCATGGGCATGGCCCCCCAAGGAACGAGAAGGAGGTCCAGCGGCTCACAGGAAGGATGGCCGCCCTGACCAGGTTCCTCTCGCGCTCCGCGGTCCGGGGGCTGCCCTTTTTCCGCATCCTAAAAGCGCCTAAAGACTTCCAATGGAGGGAGGAGTGCCAGAAAGCCATCGCCGACCTCAAGGCATACTTAGCAGAGTTACCCACTCTGACCGCCCCAGAGCAAGGGGAGACCCTGTTCCTATACCTGTCTGCTTGCAACGAGGCCGTTATCGCGGTCTTGGTGTGGGAGGACAGGGGGGCTCAGAGGCCGATATATTATGTCAGCCGTGCCCTACAAGGGCCGGAGACACGGTACACGCCGGCCGAAAAACTGGTCCTGGCTTTGGTGCACGCTGCCCGAAAACTCCGACCTTATTTCCAGGCCCACAGTATCGTCGTCATGACCGACCAGCCCCTCCGACAGATACTCACGAAGCCCGAAGTCTCGGGCAGGACGACCAAATGGGCCGTCGAGCTGGCCGAGCATGACGTCGGCTATCAGTCTCGCATAGCCATCAAGGCCCAAGCCTTGGCAGACTTCCTTGCTAAGGGGGCCAGCTTGACCCTATCCGAGCTAAACCCTCTGCGCGAGGATACACGGTCAAAGGAGCCATGGGTACTGTTCGTAGACGGGGCCTCCAGCAAGGAAGGAAGCGGAGCAGGTCTGCTGCTTATCTCGCCAACCGGGGAAGAGCTGACCTATGCTCTCCAGTAAGTCGAAATTACTATTGCTGTTCTGGTTTTACCCGAAATTGGGATTTGCTTCTGTAATTGGTTGTTTTGGTCTGGATTGCTTCCGAATGAGTTGTTGAGGCCTTCTGATGAAATTTAGCCCTGTTTCTTAGCTTTCAGATGGTTTTGGAATTTCTGGATTTGGACTTGTAGAGCCTGAGTTATGATGTTTCTGCTAGAATGCGTTTTGGTGAATCTGTTTTACGTTTTGATGGAGTATCTTGCATTTTTGACTTGTTTGCACTCAAAACTGGGTTGAGTGACCTTCTGTGATGTTGTAGCCCTGTCTTATAGCTTCGAAATGGTGGGTCTTACACCTTCATCCGATAGTCATAGGGCATTTGGTGCCATTACCGCAAAAAGAAGTCAAAAACTGTTTTTTCAGGGCCAAAGCTAATTGCATTTCCGAATTTTCTAGTTTTCTCTAATGATTGTATATGCTTATGGAACCCTATTGGGGTCATAATTGGCATTGATTTATGATTAGTTATCGAGTCTTATTGTACTTGTTTGTATGTTTTAAGGCTTACTTTTATTCCGGTCATTTCTTAGTTAACTTTTACTTTGAGCCTAGTGAACGGCTTTTGGGAAATGAGGTGAATTTTGTGTGAGATGTTGGGACTGATTCGAGGAAATAATGAAGCCTTAATGGCTGGAAAAGTAAGAAATTTAGGGGAAGTGTTGCCCGATTTTCTAGGCCGTTTGGTTCTTTTAAGTTGGATTTGCCTTTTGGTAGAAATAAAAGGGCTTTTGGGTTGTTGAACCTAGGTCTTTATGCTATATTTTGTTTCCAAAAAAAATCATGTTTTGTACCCTTACATTAGTAATTATTTGGCGAGGCATACGACTAGTAGTCGAGCCTCATGTGTATTTTGTTTACTCGATTATGGATGTGAAACCTTCAATTGGTTTATTTTGGCTATTTTAGGGTTTTTTGGCGATTAAGGCCAATCTGAAGTAAAAACTGTTGAAGTTGAGCCGGTGAGTGTACCACTCCCCTCCATTGCTGTTTAACTTGATTTCTGCTCTGCAACCTGTTAAATTTGTTTGAGACGAGAGTGTACTTTATCACACTCGTTCTTCTATCTGTTCATATGCCAATTTTGAGTGCTATCTGAATCTGCCGTCTGAATCTGCTATCTGAATCTGCTATCTGTATCTGAATCTGTTTTTTTCTGTGACCTATGAGCTCAAATCCTGTGGCTAAGTTATTCGAGTCGGGCCGGCAAGGGCCTTGACGATTAGATAACGAACCACGGTAGTCTGTTCGGAGATTTTTGGGTATTGAGACCCTTGATTCCGGTATATTCGAGTATTACCATTTCTGTTCGGTTACGGTGAGCGGGCCCGGTAAAGGGGTGTTTGGTGGACGGAATTCGATGTTAAGAGGGGTCTACGGACGCGTTGGTTCTGTATACGTTGACGGAGAGTCAACCGGTTTGAATCAAGTACGGCGCTGGAAATTTGGCTCCTGAGAGCCTCCCGTATCCTTCTTATTTGAATCATTGGTTCCTTTGCTTTACATCTGACATGTGTATCTGATTTGTTAAATGTGAAATGCCATGATTTTAATGCTATCTGTTTGGTACCTCATTGAGCGCAAGCTCACCCCTTTATGTTCCTTTTGTTTTCCTTACAGGAAAAATAAATACTTTGGACTGGATTTGACAAATGGCTGCCAAATTGAGCTAGTTGAACATAACTTTTGTATAGCTCATGTATTAAAACCCTAAGTGTACTTTTGGGGCGTTTTCTCTTTTGATTTGGCAAACCGTGTATATGTATTAACTTTTGAAAACTTTTGTATGTCATTTTGGATTGTAATTTTGGATTGTAATCGCTAAAGTTCAGATGTGAATGTTTGCGTGCTCTTTCGGTTGGGTTCTGACGGGTCGGTTACTATCATGGCCGACTCCGGATTTCATTTTTCTTATTTTGGGTTATTTTGCCATTTTGACTTGCTTACGCTCGTTGGTAAGTTCCGGAACGCATTAGATAGCTCTAATCTGCACCGTTAGTCCTGGCGAGAGCTGGGCAGGCAGTCCGCTAACCCCTTTGGTTCGCCTTAGAGGAAGGTGGGGCTGTCACAGGTGGTATCAGAGCCTGCTTCGCGTGGTCTCTGCGCGGAGTGAGCTTGGGCCAAGTGGTGTATGGTCCTGATTTCATGAATATGTCTAAGTGCTCGTTTGAGCGTAAGTTACGAACTAGACATGTCATAAGTGTAAAGATCTTTATCATGGGATTTCAGGAAGATAGATATGTATGTCGGGTAGGAATCTGTAATATAGATGATTTACTCTTGGGACTGGCCTGCTCGAGAGGTGAATTGTCTTATTTCGGATTCTTGTGCCTGAGTACTCCAGAGTTGAAACGGTGTTAAGTAAGTGAGATTTGCATTTTGGGAATATGAATAGGCTTTGTTTGGCTGGAATGAGTCCATGAGGTTATTGGATATCTAGTTTGCATGGTAAGTGACGTGAGAGATCGGACGGGGTTATTTTAATTGGGTCTGGGACTATATCGCCTTTACTCTTGATTTGCTTTGATACCGCTATGACATAACAGTGGTTTGAGTATTGTGCATAGGATTATCTGTCTAATTTGGCATGTATTGGTGTATTTGATTAACCGTTTTCTTGATACATGGTGTGTTATATGTGCATATGTCATGGGTGTAATTGGTGTGCTAGAATTTAATTACTTTTGTCACTTTACTATATTTATGCGTTGAATTGCCTTGGGGAAAGGGGAAAAAGAAAAGAGAGAAAAAAAAATCTAAATATATATATATGTAAGGAATATGCAGTCGTGGCCGTGGAATTAAGCGAGGCCAAGAATCAAGAGAAGAAAAGGGAAACAATAACTGGACGAGGACCGAGAATGCCACTTGTACTTAGGAATGTATTATGACCCATTGTTTTGCCCAACAGGCTAGTATCCGAGTTCCAGCACTTCCGTAAGATGACACATTGGGTTGATCCGTATCAGGAAATTTCGGTTCTCTGAGATGAAATAGAGGTTCAAAGGAGGCTGACCGAGTACTGGGAAGGGCGATTGAAGCAAGAGTATTCGGAGAAACTTGAGCTCTTACACCAAAACATGGAGCTAAAGAGGAAATACGAAGAGATTTCCAAGGAGACAGTAGCAATGGCACAAAGCAATACTTTTATGGGGATTCCAGAGGAAGCTCAAAAGATAGGAAGTGCAAGGCCACAACTGAAGATCTTCCATGCAAAGAAAAAGGGTAAAACTGGTAGATCATTTGCTAAGAAGGTCCGTGGAACGGGTGGTGTGATAATTTGTGGCTATTGTAGAAAATCCAATCATTTTGAAGAGAATTGTTGGAAAAGAGGAGGGAGATGTCTGTGCTGTGGGAGCGCCGAGCATCGAATTGCTCATTGACCGAGTAAAGCGCGTGAAAAGAAAGGAACCCAGCAACCAACCAAGACCGACCCTGGACCATCAAGTGGAAAAGGGACTGGAATGAAGAACCTTTTTTCTACTGACTCGGAAGACGAAGAAGGTACAAGCCATTGGTTACTTTAAATTTTGAAGGTAAAATTTCGAGGACGAAATTTCCTTAAGGGGGAGAGAGTGTGAGAGCCCGTAATTTTTATTTTTTTTTAAAAAGTACTAAGTTTTATTTTTCTTTTAA